AACCCTAAAATCATGGAAACATTTATAGTGAATCTATGCTTGATTATTTTGATTATGAATTTAATTCCATGAATGCATTCATTCATTCACTCATTCACTATCCAGCTCTAAGTTTGCCAGTAGGCTATTATGTTCATAGAAGACATTTTAAGTGGATGTTTGAGATTGTTTCCATTGTGTTACTAAATTTTATATACATGTGCCAAATATAAAGCTTTGGTATTAATATAATTTTTTTTGACAGGCAGAGTTAGAGAGACAGAGGGAGACAGAGAAAAAGGTCTTCCTTTTCCATTGGTTCACCCCCTAAATGGCTGCTACGGCCAGTGCGCTGTGGCTGGGGCGCTGCGCCCATCCGAAGCCAGGAGCCAGGTACTTCCTTCTGGTCTCCCATGCGGGTGCAGAGCCCAGGCACTTGGGCCATCCTCCACTGCCGAGACACAGCCGAGAGCTGGACTAGAAGAGGAGCAACCGGGACAGAATCCGGCTCCCAAACCGGGACTAGAACCTGGGGTGCCAGTGCCGCAGGTGGAGGATTAGCCAAGTGAGCCATGGCGCTGGCTGGTATTAATATAATATTAAAACATAAATACAGAATATTCTAGACTGTAGAATATCATGTTCTTAGAATTTTATCTACAAAGCATGTAGAATCTATGAAAACTAATGGAAAATTAAAATAAAAAGTCAAAAAAAGTACAGTTTGAATGATAATTGCGTCTTCCAACAAAAGTTGGGAAAGAAATTATGACTAAGTCATCAGTTCTTCAAACATAATAACACAAGCAAGTGACTAATCCCACTCAGAATTCACTTACTGGATACAATTAATTTCTCCAGGATAACTGAGATTTTATTTAGTGAGAATGGTCCATGACTTTTCTATTATTTTCTGCCATGGTTCTAAGGGCTCTCATTTATTCTTCAGTGTAAACACTGCGTAAAATTAGGATCCTAGTGAATTAGAATTTATCACAAATGAAGGAAATAGTATATTGATTAAAAGATTGTTTCTCCCACACAGTCTACACTTAAGACATCATTAACTGATTTAAAGTTCTCAGGATCTGAGGATAATTCTGATCAATGCCTCATCATTTCTAATGTATGACCTTCATCTCTAGACGAAGATGATGGTGCTATATAAATAAGTTTATAATCATCAATCAGTTCTCCATACCAATGGGTACATAAATTCTGTGTTTTCATATCTATCTATGAACAATGCTATCATTTCCAAAAAATGCTACTTGACACATTAACAACCCATTTCCTATTAACATATGCTAGATGTATCCAGCTTTGGTTATAACAGTTGATTCTATTGTTCAGCACTGTGACTTCAAGAACGATGGTTTGTTCTGCTTTCCATATTTATAGTGCTCCTCTCAGTTCTATACAAAAAGAGAAATTTTCTTATACTACATTTGCCACCTGCATGGTGGTGAATTTTCTATCATTTTAGTTATGAGGTTAACCAGAAGTAGCCATCTAGTACTCCTGGCAAACAATGTTTCATCAAGCTGTTTCACTTACATTAGAGATATTGAAGTTGTTCTTCCAACATTTACTTTGAATAAAATAAAAAGCATCTTCTCAGTTATTCTAGCTTTCTTCGATAAGCCAATCTAGTGAGGAAAATGAATCTCCATTGCTAAGACAACAGTGATGTGCGACATTTCTAAATCTCTCATGCATGTTCCAGAATTTTTCTCAAATTTCAATACATGGGACTGAAAATATTCCAGGAGTTTCAAAAATATATTCATTATTTTAGAAACTTTCAGTAGACTAATACAAGAAAAAGTTTACTGCACATTTTTACAAGTACTAATTTTCTTTTATCAGCAGCTTATTTAAAAGCCTCTTCTAATTTTTCCTCTTGGATTTTTCACAAAGGCACTTATACATACTCAAGTGATGAATAATAAGATCATATTATTCTACACATTATCATTGATAAGAGATCATATCCCTGCAGCTAGAAGAGTTGCTGTCTAATAAATGTCTTGGAATAAGTGAATTAATGACAGTATTGAATGCGGAAAAATATCTTCCTAGAATTTCATGTTTTACTTAGCAGAACATGTGAAGGTAGCATACAAACTGCCCCCAGATTCTTGATATACAAATAATATTACTTTAACTGGAGGGTTTCGGTTATTTCTTTATGGGATGTATTAGAGTATACAGAAGATATCATAGCTTCAACACAAGAGGAAAAGTGGGAAAGCCTCACTTCATCTCCTTAGTTCATTATAGCTTTGAGGATACCAAGGACAATGGAATTCCATGGATCATTTTTTTCACCACTCAAAAGGTAGATCCAACCCAACTTTTAAAAATAGATCAAGGCGCCGGCACCATGGCTCACTTGGCTAAGCCTCCGCCTGAGACGCCGGTATCCCATATGGGCACCAGGTTCTAGTCCCGGCTGCTCCTCTTCCAGTCCAGTTTTCTTCTTGGGCCCAGGAGGGCAGTGGAGGATGGTCCAAGTGCTTGGGCTCCTGCACCTGGGTGGGAGACCAGAAGGAAGCACCTGGCTCCTGGCTTCGGATCGGCGTAGTTCCGGCCATAGCGGCAATTTGGGGGGTGAACCAATGGAAGGAAGACCTTTCTCTCTGTTTCTCTCTTACACTGTCTGTAACTCTACCTCTTAAATAAATAAATAAAATCTTTTAAAAAAAGATCAAAATAACTGTTAAATATGTAAAGGATTAATTATTTACTGTAGTCGTATTACTCTATGCCATTTTTCAAGAGATCTCACTCATCCTTGTGTAGCTAGATTTCAGCCAACTGGATCCATGACTACATTCCTCTTTAGCCTTCTTTAAATCAACCTCTTTTGCTTCATCTGCTTCTCAGCCAATGTCAGTAAGAATAATTCCAAACATAGAATCGAAATGCTCATTTGATCACCCCATAACCTCTCCTTGGGAAAAAAATTATAATCCTTTCTTTAGTGCTAAGTGTTCAGACGACTGTTTCTTCAAATTGCCTTCTGAAAAGAATTCAAAACTCATGTACATAATTGTGTGTTCCCCATGCCCATTCCCAGATACCTTGTGAGGATGCCTCACTCTGTGCCTAGAAGAACATTGTGTACCAATTGCCAAAGCTAAAGAACTCCAACTCTGTGTAGGACAGTAAAGATCACAACAATGGAGCCACTAGGAAAAGAAGTCCACATGCTTCTGCCTGCTACATTTTGGTGTCAGAGTACCAAAGGAAAAATAGTCAAACACTGATTGGGACAAGGGGTTTAATCACATAGAGCGACATCAGTTCTATTAAAGTGCACTGATCCTTCATGGTTAGTGGCTCCCAAAGTTTCCCATATAGGGCAGTAGTCCTACAACCACCCCTCTCAAATCTCAGGGGAGAATTTCACTCCTCCCCCCACAAGAAGTCTGAAGTACTCAGATCTTGAGCTGTGCCTGAGAGTCACTGACACAAACACTAAACAGAACAAAGGAGCACATATTTAGCTCAAAATAGGGAAAGGTATCCCCAAATAAGGCAGTAAGTGCAGAATTATATATTATTATATATTATATATTACTATATATAATATATAGGCTCTTTTTCTTTTGGTAAGGAATTAATCTAGGCCCAAGGCTCATTTTGATGGAGTATAATGTGGGTGGAAAGATTGTATGCAGCACACCAATTTCCCAACATTCCAGATTCCGAGAGCAAGTGTGAACAATGAAGAACACAGTGGGTAAAGAGATGAACTCCCGAAATATATGTACTATTGACATGGGCTGGTCTGAATGAACCTAGTATACTGTGAAGAAAAGCAGAATAAATCCTGACAACATTCACCCATTCTCTGTATAATGGTTAATACTTTAATCCACTAGAAAGAAAATGAATATATGCCATTGTTTTATTTTATAACAGTTAAAAATCTTCCCAGAGATAATAAAAATGTGACATAATTATAGATAGAAGTATAGGTATCTATGATGGCATTTGAATATAAACTGATGGGCTACATAACAATGTTTTGGTCAACAACTGATGGCCTACAAATAAGGAGGAGATCCCATAAGATTGTATCCCCTAGTGATGTTTCTGTCTTACACGTATATTTGCACTTGATAATGTTCACACAAAAACAACATTACCCAAAGACACATTTCTCAGAACAAATTCCTATTAGGTGACTTGTGAATGTGTATCAATTTATCCATTAGGAAGTACTGATGCATGCATTCTCCGCAGGCACCACATGGCAAAATATACATACATGCATATATATACACCTACATATACACATACGTACATATAAATTCTACTCTAAATATATACACCTACATATACACATACATACATATAAATTCTACTGTAAATATTTATTTATTTGAAAGTCAATGTGAATGAAAGAGGGAGAAATACACACACACACACACACACACAGAGTGTTTTTCCATCTCCTGTTTCATTCCTTCAAATGGCCTCAACAGCCAGAGCTGAGACAGGCTGAAGCTGGGATCCCAAGATACATACAGGTTTCTCACATGGGTGGTAGGAACCTAAATACTCAGGCCATTATCTAATCCAGTATTGCCAAGAATTGCTCTCGATATAGAGTAGCAGGTGGCAGATGGCTTAATTTTCTATGACACAGCTCCCCTCCCACAAAATTCTTATTTTACTTAAAATGTCTCTCTATGCATCTAAGCTCCTGACACAAGCAGTTTACTATTTTTTTGAAATTCAAAAAAAAAAATAAAAACCACAGTTGAGAACTTTTCACAATAGACTACTTTGATGTAGATTTGTAAATACAGTAATCATTTATCATAAAAGTAAGGTGGCTTAATCATGGGACTCCTAACTTAAAGTAGAAAGAATCTAAAGTATGAAAATTCTTTGCCTAAAGAAACAAACGGGGAATTTTTCTAATGTAAATTAAAGTGAATTATGAGTCCACCTTTTCCTGTGGTTTGCCCCACCCATCACTGAAGGTGTATAAAAGCACAGGGATAGCTAGTGGTGTTCAGATTGTCGACGCTGGTTACCTGATTCTTGACTGAATCTTCAACCTCTGACACTATGTGCTACTACGGCAACTACTATGGCCTAGGCTGTGGCTATGGTGGCCTGGGCTATGGCTGTGGCTATGGTGGCCTGGGCTATGGCTGTGGCTATGGTCTGTATGGATACAGCAGCTACCCATTCTGCTATAGGAGATACTGGAACTATGGATTCTACTGAGAAACTCCCACAGACACTTCCAGACTCCTCTCCCTGTGTTTCCTGACTCAATCCTGGATTCCTCATTTTCTTAAATAACAATTGTTTCATCTTAGACTACTTGTGGAGGAGAGAATAGTTTAAATTCAAACATCCATTGTCTCAATTGATTGTAATCATCTGTAATGCCTTTCTTTAAAACATTATTTTTGGGACCAGTGCTGTGACGTAGTAGGTAAAGCCGTTGCCTGCAGAGCCAGCATCCCATATGGATCCCATATGGACCAGTTCAAGTCCTGACTGCTCCACTTCTGATCCAGCTCTCTGCAATGGCCTGAGAAAGCAGTGGAAGATGGATCAAGTCCTTGGGCCCCTACACCTTCATGGGAGAACCAGAGGCAGCTCCTGGCTCCTGGTTTTAGCTAGACACGGCTCTGGCCCTTGCAGTCAATTGGGGAGTGAACTAACAGATGAAGACCTCTCTCTCTTAGCCTCTCTTTCTCTGTGTGTGTGTAATTCTGACTTTCAAATAAATAAATAAATCTTAAAAAAAGAAAATAAGTTTTTCTCTTCTTACTGTATTAGAATTACTTCTCTGCGTATTACTGAAATCAACATCCTTGCTGTGAGATAAATTTTGTTGCATTTTTCAATAAAATCTGTTGTATGAACAATCTTGCATTTTTACTTTTGTCACATTGTTACATGCACATGTGTGTAAGACACTGTTATTTGACAAAAACATTGCCTACATGTTATAAGTTGATTTTTTAAGAAGACCTAAATTGTTGTTTCTAAATGAAACTTGCTTTTTATAAACCTGCAAACACTGCAACCATTCATGTGAAATCATAATAAAGCATTAGCCCACATGCTGAATGTTTAAGTAATAAATCAAACCCCAAATAATACACCTATTTGCCATCATCATATTCTATGTACTTGGTTCCTTTGCTGTCTGGTTTTTCCTCATACGTCATATTTGAGTATGAAGATTGTCTCTATTTTTGGCTTTATTTGGAATTTCTGCCTCCCATTCACCTAACTGATTTGCTTCTATTCCATTATATATGCATTATATATGCATTCAACTCAAATTGTGTGTAATAATAGCACACAAGGTGAGTCCACACATCATTTTTGTCATGAAAAATCTCCAGAACATGCCACCCTCCTACAATGTAAGCACATCAAACATAAGAAATTAGATCCCTGGGGCTGGCACTGTGGCATAGTGGGTAAAGCCACCGACTGCAATGCCAGCATCCCATATGGGCACTGGTTTGAGTCTCATCTGCTTCACTTCTGGTCCAGCTCTCTTCTATGGCCTGGGAAAGCAGTAAAAGATGCTCAAGGGTGTGGGACCCTGCAACCACTTGGGCAGGCCAGGGGAAAGCTCTTGGCTCCTGGTTTTGGATCAGCACAGCTCCAGCCGTTGCGGCCAGTTGAGAAGTGAACCAGCGGATGGAAGACCTCTTTCTCTCTCTCTCTCTGCCTCTTCTCTCTCTGTGTTACTCTTTCAAATTAATAAATAAATCTTTTTAAAGAAGAAATTAGATCCCTGCTTCCATGGAATGATTATTTCAAATTTTATATATCTAGCTTCACTTTTGAAAAATATAAAAAGTTTATTTTTGTATTGAATAAAACTTTCCTCCATATCTTGTTACAAGGGAAAATATAAGAATAATGTAATTTCAACATCAACCTATCTAAACACATTTTGATTTAACATTTTGTGTCATTTTTACCCCCATTATGAACTTTTCCCAAAATGATTGATAGAGACATGTCAACCTTGAAATATCAGTGCATTTCATGTGGCAGATATTATTCTTCAAGAACAATATAAGTGACAAAGCAATTCCATGGGATCTGCAAATTTATCTTAATTAGTTTTACAACTAGGTTATAAGGTTAATTAAGAACACTTATTGCTTGTCATAAAATATTGTCACAATTCTTTTCTCAACATGCAAAATATTTTCAACTATGTATCCTCTAAACAATAGGATTTTCTAAAATGTTACTATCACAAGTGTATTCTATGTGAGAAATTATATAATATTAAGAGCACAATGAGGCCGGTGCCGTGGCTCACTAGGCTAATCCTCCGCCTGCGGTGCTGGCACCCCAGGTTCTAGTCCCGATCGGGACGCCAGATTCTGTCCCGGTTGCCCCTCTTCCAGTCCAGCTCTCTGCTGTGGCCTGGGAGTGCAGTGGAGGATGGCCCAAGTCCTTGGGCCCTGCACCCACATAGGAGACCAGGAGAAGCTCCTGGCTCCTGGCTTTGGATCAGCCGGGTGCGCCGGCTGCAGCGGCCATTGTGGTGTGAACCAACGGAAAAGGAAGACCTTTCTCTCTGTCTCTTTCTTTCACTGTCCACTCTGCCTGTCAAAAAATAAATAAATAAATAAATAAATAAATAAAGCACAATGCTATTAATGGAAGTCATCTGGTTCAGCACCAAGGACAGTGCCTGGCTCTAGCACAGATTCGCATTTTTATTTCAATTTTATAAACACATGAACTGTCAGCTCCCTGATAATGTGCCTAGGAGGGCAGTGGAAGATGGTTGAAATGTTTCACATTATGCCAACACATTATGCCTTAATGTAATGTGTTTTATATATATATATGTATGTATGTATGTGGAACATTCAAGTAAAACTATAACACTACAGAATTCCATAAGACTCTTCTTTTAATTTCATAAATGTGATAATGGGTTGTGGATATATAAAACTCTTTTTTGTGGTGGATATATACACTGAAGTATTTATAACTAAAGTACTGCCTTGTCTAGGATTAGTATCTAAGGAAACAGAGTTCCTGCTACTTGACTGACCCTTCCATTTCTGAATTGATAAGCCATCATGCCAACCTCTGAGTCAGTCTCTGCTTAGAAAATGCTGATTAGAAGAACTCTAGGTGGAGTTTCAGGCATCAGTCTGCCATTGCAACCATTTGGCGATTGAACCAGCAGATGGAAGATCTTTCTCTTTCTCTCTCTCTCTCTCTCTCACATTGCTCTCTGTAAACATACTCTTCTTTTCTAATAAATAGATAACTAACTAAACACATATTTTAAAAGAATGGAGATTACTGATGCCATAAACAGGAGTGTCAATTTGTAAAGTCAACAACAGGAGTCACTGTGCACTTACTCCTCATGTAAGATCTCTGTCCTTAATGTGCTGTACATTGAGACTTAATGCTATAATGAGTACTCAAACAGTATATTTCGCTTTGTGTTTCTATGGGGGTGCAAACTGTTGAAATCTTTACTTAATCTATACTAAACTGATCTTCTGTAAAAAAAAAAAAAGAAGAAATTATCAATTCCCAACTTGACTCTCACTGGGATTAAACATGACAATAGGTCTGATCTGATTTCATCATCATTTAAAAAATCATCTATTATTTTTCACTTTATGTTTCTGTGTGGGAGCAAACTGTTGAAATCTTTACTTAATGTATGCTAAACTGATCTTCTGTATATAAAGAGAATCGAAAATGAATCCTCATGTGAATGGAAGGGGAGAGGGAGTGGGAAAGGGGAGGGATGCGGGTGGGAGAGACGATATTGGGGGGAAGCCATTGTAATCCATAAGCCGTACTTTGGAAATTTATATTCATTAAATAAAAGTTAAAAAAAGAAACATAAAAAAATGGAAAATTAATTAATTAATAAATAAGGCTGGCATGCATTTGTTAATGTTTGGTAGTACTTACATATATTTATAAGTTAGGAGCATGTGATAAGCATAGCTATTAAGAAGGTGATGCATTTATTTCTCGCTAAAGTCTCCATGCCCTGTGATTCTGCTTTGTCCAGATTATACTGCTGAAATCCTTGCCAGAACAAGCTCAGAGGGAAGATGAACCCAATATCAATGGAAAGCAGAAAGCTTGTGCTTCTCAAGCATCACTCTATACTCCTAAGGACAAGAACACATGGAAAACCAGTATATTCAAGAATTGAATTGTGCACTGCAACTTTTTTTTAAAAAGTAGGATAAAGTTACTTTTTATACTTTAGTTGCAAACAGCATTTCATCATAGCTCTTGTGTGTTTCTGTATGATGCCTTTCGTTAAGGAATAGCTTCAATAGCTTTTATCAAAATGCAGTTTTATAGATAAAATGAAGTTCCATCATTCCTATGCTCTATCCTTTCCATTTTCATCATTTCCATATAGTTTCAGGATATAACTTTGAAACCATTGGGAAAAATATTGTATGTTTTAAAAAAACAGAGTCATGAAAGAAAATATTAACAAAAAAACAGAGTCATGAAAGAAAATATTAACTTAAGGTAGAAAAGGTTAGCTTTCTCAGGCCTGGTTTTGAAAATTCTCTGCTGGCTTTTTGTCAATAGTCTCATGAAGCTGAGAGATACCTGATAGTTTTTACTAATAAACCATCTGTCTTGTGAAAATGAGAAGACTCTCCAAAATAACAAAAATGGATTTTGAACAACAGAGAAGGGTAGAGGAGCTGATTCAAGGAAAAGTATAAGGACCTATTGGACATGAACAAAAACAAGATAAATTTTTATCAACTATTGACCATTTGTCAGGAGACTACAAGTTAGCTGGTTACTTTGTTTTATTGGGGATGACTTCACTCATGCCTGCATTCAGCCACAGGTGAGGTAGGCAGCATGCTGACATGGGAGCCTGCTTCACATAATTATGATTTGGCTAACTATAGGCTGAGCAACCTCAGTTTTCTGTGGTTTCTTCTTCTCTTTATCGATCTCCACATAATCCAATATTATAATAATATAAGTTTTGTTAAATCAGTATATTACAAATTCTAACATAAATATATATAGATAACAATCATTAAATGTAAAATCAGTAGGCAAAAATTTGCTAGGGAAGGCTGAACATGAACAAATTTATTATTTCAACTTAGCTAAATGTAAAAAAAATCAGTCAAGAATACATTATGTGCCTCCTAGTATCATGTAGCAGAAAGTACTCAGAACAACTATAAAATATGTTTCCTGTCAAAATTAATAAGAATAGCCAGAATTTTATTAACCCTCTATATCTGCCTACAGGTGAAGTCAGAAATAGAGGGATACAGGAAAAGAAATTACTAAAGAAGAAATCAGTCTCATCCACTATAGAAGAATCCCATGAGATGATAACATAGTTTGTTAAAAAATTCATAAAAATAATTGGGGAAGAGAAAACATATGCTTGAAAAAAGACATATGCGTGTGTGTGTGTGTGTGTGTGTATGTACCATTCAAGGGAAATAAGTATGAAGAAATGCTTAGAGAATTCCAAGGAATTCCTTTTTAATTTCATAAACATGATAGTGGGTTGTGGGTAAATAAATGCTCATTTTGTGGGAGATGCATGTTCTGAACTGTTTATAACTAAAATACTGCTTTGTCTGGGATCAGTTTCTGAGGAAATAGAGTTTCTGCTACTTGACAGAAACTTTAATTTCTGATACCACGAGCCATCATGCCAAACTCTGAGACAAAGTCTCTGGTTAGAAGATGCTCATCCTAGTCCTACAGATTATATCAGCATTATTCCTGAGCATGTCAACTTACTGAACTCCTGTTCTTGTGTTTCCTAACCCTGGCTCCATACTCATATCAGAAATGCTAACTTTAATGGCTGAGATTTCAGTGCGGTGGGTTAAGCCACTGTCTGCAATGATGGCATACCATAGGAACACAAGTTTGAGCCCTGGCTGCTTCATTTCCAACACAGCCTCTTTCTAATGCACCTGGGAGGTAACAGGCAATGGCTTTTGCACCATTACCTGGGCCCCTGCTATCCATGTGGAAGACCTGGATGGAATACCTGGCTTCTGGATTCAGCCTAGTCCAGCCTTGAACTTTGTGGCCATTTGGGGAGTGAACCAGTGGATGGAAGACTCTCTCTCTCTCTCTCTCTCTCTCTCTCTCCCTTTCTCTCTCTCCTGCCCCATGCCCCCTTCCTCCCTCCTTCCTCCCTCCCTCCTTCTATCTCTGTAACTTTCCTTTCAAATAAATAAATAAATAAATAAATCTTAAGAGAAACCCCAGCTTCAGCTCTTGTCACTGGGAAAGATTCGGCATGATTTATCTTGCATAACCAAAATCAATGAGATTCTCACAAATTGTAAAATACGCTCATACTTTATTTTGCTTTAGTATCACTTTCTTTCATACCTGTATTTTTCATGTTTTATTCGAGAAAATAAGGTTCATTTATAATAAACTCTACACACCTGCTTCATTACATTTATTTAAATTTTGTCCCTTTATTTTTGCTTTTTCTACATTTATGTGAATTTGTCACCAAGGATGAGTAATAGAACAATAGAGAAATAAAAAGAGAAATACAGATAGAAACACTGAAGAACAAACCTGTCTTTGTATATATCCTGATTTTTTTTCTGTTCCAAATTGTTAGTGACAACAATTGAACATAATTATAGGCTACAGTGTGACATTTCAATACATGTATACAATAGGTACTGATCAAAACAGCATAATCAACATTTCTTCTGCTTTGACATTTATTACTTTACAGTAGGAGACTTGGAGCTTCTTTCTTCTGTTTGTTCACAAAATGTATACTACACTATTATGAACTATTGTTTCCAGAATATGCTGTGAAATGCTGGGAAGTTATTCCTTTGATCTCTGATTTTCTACCCATTATCCAAACTCCATCTAAACCTCCTTACCTCTACCAGTCTCTAGTAATCACTATTCTTTGTTCAGGTTGAATTTTTATTTGTTTGTTATTTAGCTTTCATGTATGAGGGAGATATGCAGTATGTATCTGTCTATGTCTGACTTCTTTCACATAACATGTTTTCCAGTTCTATCCATTTTACAATAAATTACAGAATTTCATTTTTATTGTTGAATAATGTTCCATTAAAAATAAAAAAAAAAAAAAACAAAATTTAAGACAAATGCTTTTTAGAAGAAAAACGAAAAAAGCAAAATTTTGGTCAGTATTTGTTAGTTTATATCTTATTGAAAATAATAATTCTAACAGAATTATAATATATCACAGTGGTTTTGATTTGCATTTCCCTGATAGCTAGTGATAGCAAATTTTCATTTCTGTGTCCACCACTTATAATCCCTTTTTTGAGAATTGTCCATTTGAGTCCTTTGCCCATTTCTTAACTGTATTCATTGATTTGTTGTTATTATTGTTCTCATTCAGTATTTTTTTTAGTCTGATGTTCTGTGGACATTATCATTTGATGGAAAGTAGCTTGCAAATATTTTCTCCAATTCTGTCCAAGACATCTCTCTGCTCTTTTCTTTGATGTTTTAACATGCCTAGAAATTCAAGGGTCTGAATCCATTGTTTTTATCTGAGGTTATATACAATTTAGCTTCCATGTGATTCAGCAGTCAATGCTACATCCGATAAGGCTATCAATTTACATTAATATATGAAATTTTAAATGACACTAATCTCCACCAAACCAACCCTTTTATCCTATAACCACACATAACAACCCATGCTTTTGTTTCTTGATTTGGGGCTGAATTACTTAGCGCTGTGCCTCAGAAGAGAGACATTTCTCGCCTCATTCTGCACATTATTCTATCTGCACTCTACTTCGGATGACGTGTCAGTGTAGGTAGAATACAAAAATCTGATATTAAAATCTTCCAGAAAACACTATCTGTTTGCCATCTCAGCAGGACTATCTTCAGGGTACTAACTTACTTCCTCCATCTTATACCACCATTCCCATATTGTAATTACAAAATTCTCCTTTAAAATCCTCAAAATGAATGTACACATTTTCTCCATTTTTCTAGAGTCATTATGACGTTGGAAAACAATGACACAAAGTCACTCAGTTAAAAGATTAGTTGTTTAGTCATCATCATATTTGAAAAGTAAACACTATTAATGAAATCCTGATTGATCAACAAACATGCTTAGCATTATTTGGATATCTGAACATCTATGTTGGTTAGTTGAAGAAACGTCTATGCATATAACTGTAGATGTATACTCACTCTAATAAAGAAGATAATGATTTATTTTCTAAGTTCAAAAGAAGGAACATTTAGTTCTTATTCTTCTACAATATTGGATATTTCTCTATTGTCCTTTTGCATTTCTAGAAACTCATGCCATAAGTGATATTCAGTGGGAGGAGGAAACAAAGGGATGATAATAGATGTCACATAAGACAACGTCATAAAAACAATTAACACATGGTTGGAAGCAAATAGTAATTGGGTGACTGGAATAGGCTAACAAGACCATGTAAATTTCTCAAATAATCTAAATTACAATTATGAGGGAAAGCAGAGTTTTTCATCACATCTATACATCTATCAGTAGTAGTCCCAGTGCTCAATGATAAAGAGTGTACAGCCGGCAGTGTCTGTGAGGTTAGGGGAGATTACAGCTCAGCACTGTGAAGTTAGATGGAAGGCTTCCTCCTCTTCAGGAAATCTCACAATAACAGAATGGAGGGGGATGCTACATAGTTTATGTTGACCTCTCTGCCTGACAACAAAATTCATGGAGCTTTTTTATGTAAATATATACTTTTAAATGTATCTTTAATCTTCAAATATGCTTATTTACCATGCTTCTAAAAATAGTAAACATAACTTATTCATTAACAATAACTACATATTTACATATTATAGTATAATATTTCAATGCATGTACACAATGTGTACTGATCATGTAAGGATAATTAATGTTTTCTTCTGTTATTATTTTATGATTGTAGCAATGGAGCTCCTTTACTCTATTTGCAAAGAAAATAAGTAATAGCTTATTGTGAAACAGAATTGCCTCCTGTGCTGTGTAACATTAGGGATTTTTTTCCTACTATTGAACTATGATTTGGTTTCTGTTATCCAATTTCACTCTATCCCACTATTCACCCCTCCCAGCCTCTCTAAACAGTACATTCAGATTGGCTATTATCAAAAAGACAAAAAGTAATCCATGCTGTTGAGAATGCAGATAAAAGGGAATTTTCATGCACAATTTGAAGGAATTTTAAAGATGCCTTTAAAAACTGGAAATAGAATTGCTATATGATCCAACAGTCTCACTACTGGATTACAGAAAATAAGTGAAATCATTATAACACAGGGATACCTGCAGCATGATGTTTACTGTGGCACTAATTATAATTGAATGATATAAAATCAGCCAATGTGTCCACTAACAGATAAATGATAAAGACCATACAGTAAATATACACAATGGAATACGATTCATTTACCAAAACAATGAAAGTTTGTAGTTTGTGGAAAAAATGGATATAAATGAGTATGTCATGTTAAGTGAATTAAGCCAATATTTCATTTCATTTAAATACAAATTTCATTTAGATTTTTGAACTAAACCAAAAAAGCCTTCCTATGAATAGGTATTTTTATTTTCACCACTAGTTCATCTATTTCTTCTAAACTGATGGAACAAAGAAGGCAGGAATGCCTTTTTTGTTCCTTTATTAACACACTCCATACATTTTTACAAAAGCATGTCACTGCTGTAACTCCGGAGTATCTATAAAAGCAAATAAAGTTCTGGTTAAAAAAAGACATAACTAATTTTGTTGTATTCCAGTTACACCTATACACTTTCATAAGGAATGACAAAAGGAAGCAAGGGGTATATACAGCTTTTTTTTTCCATAAAATGGTCATTTATTTACTGGAAAGATTTAAGTAATGTTAGAGTTCATTAATAAATGATATAGATATTTACATATGCTAGTAAATTGCAACCATGCTGTCAGCAACATAGCTAATAACTACCTTAACTTTTATACATAGAAAAGTTTCAGAAAACCTGTTTTTCCAGACAAAGCTTTTTTTTTTTACAAACAATAAACCTTCTAGTGACCTTCTTCTTATGGAGGAATGAAAAGAAAACAGAGCAAAACAAAAGGGATAACAATTTTCATGATTTGCCTCACACCATGCAACCAGGTCAGATGTATTCAATTAGCTAAATAAAGAATAAGTCAGAGTCTCGACAACGGAACGAGTTTCATTTTAAAGGTCCATAAATTGATTTGAAATCCTGACACAAGGGCAAAATTATCTCAGTTATGAGGGGCTTCTTTGTAATAAATTAAGAACCGCATGACGTTGTCAGAAGCACATTACTGAGATGAATGACATAGCATCACCTGTGGTTGGTCTCACCCACTCCGAGGCTTATAAAAGGCAGTTGGAAGATGGCAACATCCAAACCAAGAAGACCTTCTTCTTCCTCAGCTGAACATTCCACTTCCAACACCATGTGTTACTACGGGAACTTTTATGGTGGCCTCGGCTGTGGCTACAGAAGCCTGGGCTGTGGCTATGGCTGTGGCTATGGTGGCTATGGTGGCTGTGGCTATGGTGGCTATGGCGGCTATGGCTATGGCTGCTGGCACCCGCTGTACTGTGGAAGATACTGGTCCTATGGCTACTATTGAGGAATTCACAGGGCTACATAGTCTATTGGTTGCAGTCTCCTATTTTACTGACACAAAACCTGTTTCTTCACTTAAATTTTAAGATGTCTCCAAACTAGCAAATGTGTGCTAAACTATCTGAGAAAAAAATGAAACTTGGGGCCAGCACTGCGCCGCAGCGGGTTAATGCCCTGGCCTGAAGCTCTGGCATCCCATATGGGCACCTGTTCTAGTCCTGGCTGCTCCACTTCCGATCCAGCTCTCTGTTACAGCCTGGGATAGCAGTGGAATATGGCTCAAGTTCTTAGGTCCCTGCACGCACATGGGAGACCCAGAAGAAGCTCCGGGCTCCTGGCTCCAGATTGCCGAAGCTCCGGCCATTGCAGCCATCTGGGGCAGGAACCAGCAGATGGAAGACCTTTCTCTCTGTCTCTACCTCTCTCTATAACTCTGTCTTTCAATCAAATAAAATGAATCTTAAAAAAAATGAAATTCAACCTCCATTGCATTTCATCATTCTCAATTGGGATGTGTGATGGTTTATAGAAAAGATGTTCCTTTGATGTGTATTCTTTTTCTAATGCTATATGAAATTCAATCAATTTCATTATCAATTTTTTTGGAAAAAGATATGTGCTATTAAATAAACTATTTCTGTGCCAATATTGCTTTGTTACATTTTTTTCTATATTTTCTCCATCAGTTTGATGCACGTGTCTGTCTGCCTTGTTCATGATTAGTTGCATGTATATCTGTGGGAGAGAGAGGGAGAAGGAGAGAAAAAGAAAGCAGAGAGCAAGAGCAAGGAGAGGGAAAGAGAGATTGTTTGTGGTCATTACATATCTAATACTGAGCAAGCTAAAACTATCAATTCATTCTAACATTGCTCATACATAATTTTTAATCTATCCTATGACTTTTGTTAGCTCATCTCTTAATCTAAATTTTCAAAATGGTTACTTTCTACAACAGATATACTTCACATTAGAGCATTAAAAATTGTATGTATTTGTAGCCGGCGCCGCGGCTCACTAGGCTAATCCTCCGCCTTGAGACGCCAGCACACCGGGTTCTAGTCCCGGTCGGAGGGCCGGATTCTGTCCCGGTTGCCCCTCTTCCAGGCCAGCTCTCTGCTGTGGCCAGGGAGTGCAGTGGAGGATGGCCCAAGTACCTGGCTCCTGGCTTTGGATCAGCGCGGTGCGCCTGCCGCGATGCACCTGCCGCAGCGCGCCTGCCGCAGCGCGCCGGCCGCAGCGGCCATTGGAGGGTGAACCAACGGCAAAGGAAAACCTTTCTCTCTGTCTCTCTCTCTCTCACTGTCCACTCTGCCTGTCAAAAAAAAGAAAAAGAAAAATTGTATGTATTTGTATATCTTGTGCCTTTTTTACCCTCATGTTTGGATATCAGCTAGAGCTTGGCTGTGATTTTTTTTATTTAATTGTTAAAGAATTATCTTGCCTAGAAAATGGTTATAGGCTTTATATTGAAAATGTCAGCACTAATTATGACACTCCGCTTACCAACATGACAGCCAAATAACGCTTCAAAATATAACAATTTATTCTAACAGCTGAGAAAAATACACACATTATATGCCTAGCAAGACACATTTATCAGAACCACGATTTATTTTGTTGGTATCAAATTAACATTAAATTACTTTATTTTATTACCTAAGGGCCTGTACCTTATCAAAAGTATATGACAATGCAGATTAACTTTTTCCGGAATGAAACCCAGTTTCCACCCTTAGAGAAGTTTGTTTAACTTGAGTAACTCAAGTTGACAACACTAAACGCTGATGAAAAATTAATGAGGATGAGCAAACTACTGAAAAGTCAGAAGACAGTCTTAACCTTTTGGTTCTAGGAACCAGGAAAGAGGCTACTGAGAAGAAAAGTAACAAGCAGAATTTGGGGTGTCTTTTTTTCACTTGATAAACCATAATTGAATACCCAAGAGGATGCAATTCTAATGGAAATCAACACCTAGAATACAGGGCTTCACCCAAAGTGAGGTTTCTACCTAAAATAGTTTTTGATTTCTGACATTTCAAGGGTTGGTTTCTTAAGGCACAAAACAGAATCATTTAAAAATTGATTAGAATTTCTGCCTCTATAAGGTAATGAGAGGCAATCTCTAGAGTTCAGGAGCTTTCCGGAGGAAACATCCTTAACTGAAAGAGAAAAAGGTCTGCCTCCTTTAGACAGCAGTGAAACAGCCAAATTCACACCAAAATCCAGGAGCCTCATTGTACGTCCTCTTTTGAGTTAAGGCAATCAGACCTTCCTACATCCTATGACCATGTAAAAACAATCTGTGTGCTCAGTGTTAAAGTGATCATATGAATAAAATTAAGAAGGGGTAAATGTTCAGCATGGGAAGCAGTCCACACAATAGATTCATAGAATGACAGTCACTTTAAATAACACTCTGACCTAAGAATAAGCCCTTAAAGCATTCTGGTCTAGCTGAAAAGCTAAGACACCATGGCAAAAAATGTCCTACATGAAGGATCTTGGTGGGTGAGACCTGGTGGAAAGAAGTGGTCATCAAAGAGGGAGGTTCTTTTCTCTTACGGTAAGAGAGAGCTTCCACTTTGCTTATGGCCTTGTCTAAATACTGACAGAGTTTGTTGATTCAAAAGGCTTCCACAGCCTAGGCAGGTCACGTCAAAAGCTGCAGGTAATCACTAACGTTATACATAAGAGTGTTAATTGTTAAATTAACAACAGGAGTCACTGGGCACTAACTTCCCATGCAGGACCTCTATCCTCAGAGTTGTATTATAATTACATTTAATGTTTGCCAAAGATGTAACTTTCTTTGGTGCTTCTTTAAAGTTAATTAAGTTTCTAAAAAAATAAGTGAAATTAACTTCAAGACGCAATGACTTTGAACAGGCTTTGTCTCAATAGTTGAGGAACAGTTTTTTATTGTTTTTGTTTCTTCTGTGCAAATTGTCAAACTTTTTACTTAATATAGAGTTGGTCTTCTGTAAATAAAACTAATAAAAAATGAATATTAGTGGAGAATGAGACTTGAGATGCCAGTGGGAGGAGGAGGATGGGTGGGAGAGTGGATGAGAGGGTAGATATGGTGGGAAGAATCACTATATTCCTAAAGTTGCATTTATGAAATGCATGAAGTTTGTATTCCTCAAGTAAAAGTTTTCTTTGGGGGAAAATAAATTTAAAATATTTGAAAAAAAACAATAAATGTGTTGAAATACATTGTGCCCGATCCTCCAATTTTCATACAAATGCAAGTTTATGGAGTACCACAAAATTATGCAAAAGAAGTCACAGGCACTCTAAGGTGACAAGAAAATAAGTTAAATATTGGAGTTTGTAGATAGGAGATTTAAAAATATTCAGTATTAATATATGAGATAAAGAGAATAGCACCATTTGTATTAAAACTGGAGAAAGTCATAAAATTTAAATTGTCTTTTTTTTAAAGAAAAGCAAATGAATAATATAGTTAAGAATTCAATAGATTTCTCTACCAAAAATGTTGTTTATTAAAAATAAATATAGGTAAGTTAAGATTAGAATTGTTCTACTGTAGCATAAACAGAAAAATCAGAATGTAAAATACTGCAGACAGTATAAAAGATTTGTTGCTAGCTGTTGGAAAATGGTAAAACATACATATAATTGGAATACAGCAAATGAAAGGATAAAGCAGAAGCTACTTTTAAATTAAAGTAATCTAGGGGCAAGTACTGTGGCACAATGGGTTAATACTGGCATCCCATATAGGATGCTAATTCCAGTCCAATTAAGCTGCCTGCTCGTGTACTTTGAAAGGCAGTGAATGGTAGCCCAAGCGCTGGTGACCTGGCCACCATGGGAACACCCAGATAGAATTCCTGGCTCCTGACTTGGGACTGGCCCATCCCTGGCTCTTGGGACCATTTGGAGGATGAACCAGCAGATAAAGATCTTTCTCTCTCTCCCCCTTCCTCTCTGACAATCTGCTTTTCAAATAAATAAATAAATCTTTTAAAATGATTAACAATTTTCAAAAACCGTTGAAAGACATCAACACATAAATTTTAAAATCTCTGCCTGACCATGAGGGAAAATAGCATTAACATCATATCTATATAAAGCTCTATAGCTAAAAATTAAAACCAAAACCAAAATGTTAACTTAGCTGGAGAAAATAAATATATCATCTACAAAAAACAAAACAAGACAAAAAAACAGCAATAAAGCTGGCAGATTGTTCAATACAAACATAGGAAAAACTATTGTGTTGATATTCTAAGGATGGATTGCAAATTACTATAAATCTGGAATATCATGCAATGGAAAGTGGCCAGATAGCATAAAATAAGAAAATATATGATAAAATATACAATCCAATTTCAAAATAAACAAGATGAAATGGAATTTTTCAGGAGAATAAAGTGAAATTTCATGTTAATAATTTTAAATTTTAAGAAATAACAGATTTATTTAGACAGAAAGAAAGTGATCCAGACAAATAAATGAACATTCAAAAAGGAATGAGATCAATTTAAAAATGTAAATGAACATTGTGCACAAATAGTGATAATTTCATTGACATTTAAATATTTAGAAAATGAGATATACAACAAGTATAGCATAAACGAATTGAGTTCAAAAGTAGCTGTCTCTAAGATCACAGACTTATAAGGACAAAAGCAAAGGTAGAAATATTTCAATAGCTTGACATAAGTTAATTAGAGATGAAAAAGTCAGAAATACAAAAGTTAGTGAGTCGTGAAACAACTGGAGATAAAATGTTGAACTTTGGCGCCGGCTCTGTGGAGTAGCGGGTAAAGCCGCCGCTTGCAGTGCCAGCTACTCCACTTCCAATCCAGCTCTCTGCTATGGACTGGGAGAGCAGTAAGACAGCCCAAGTCCTTGGGAGACCTGAAAGAAGCTCCTGCTTCTTGGCTTCAGATCAGTACAGCTCCGGCCATGTGTGTTCATGGCTTCATCCTGTAATTTTTATGTTGAATTACCACCTATTTGTGCCACAGAGTAGCCCCTCACTTGCTCTTCCAAGTGCAGTCAACTCAGTCTTAACCTACCTAAATGGAGGCAAAAGAAAAAGAAAGGCTCCAATGTGTTATAGCTAATCTTGACGATTTAAATTATTTGAAATATGAATTGTAGAGCTTTTTCTCTTTAATTATACTTATTTATTAGTTCTGTATACAGTTAAAAGAACAGGTTTCACAGGTAGAAAACTAATTTCATTTTAAAATCAGAATCATTTTTTCATAAAATATTGCTTTATTTTCATTGCATTTTCTTCATTTTCAGTAGTTTCAAGTGATTATTTTGGAATACACTGCTTTATTTTCCTCACAAACTCTGCCTAAGCAGTTTTTTAACTTACATAAATTTGTACATTCATGTATACCTATGGGTACTATTATCATCAACACGTTGCCATAGAATAGATCATGATCTCCTTAAGCTAAAAATATACTGATTATCTTAATTATCTGA